CAAATATAAAACAAAAATAAACTTTTTTAATAGAAATGGAAATCTTGTAAGAAATTCACTGGGGATACTTAATGTTCTGGAATCAATTCCTCCGAAAAAAAAGTAAGAGAAAAGTCCTCAGGTGAAAGATAAATTTGAGATTGAGACTGGAGAATAGATTTTACTTTTTTAAGGGAAGAGATTTTAGAGGAAAGTTTACTACAATCCTGTTCAAGAGAATCTAAAAATCTCTTAGAGTTATTTAATTTATTCGTTAGTGTAGCAATTTCTGCTTTCAATTTATCTTGGCGGGCAGCGTATTCTGAATTTCTCTCTCGACGATGGATTCGACTTGTTTTAGCGTGATTATTGTTGGAAGATGAGAAAGAATTATTGACTGTATTCTTTGGATTCGATTGTCTACATTTTTCACATGCCTCATACTTATGGATGGTATAATCCACAGAGCATCTTTGATTTGTTCTTTTACAAGAAATACATGCTTCTTGCCTTTTAATTTTGACCATATTAAATTTATAATGAGATTTGTCGAGTAATTTGTCTGAAAAACTATGGTAGAGCCTTATTCAAGAACTTATTCAAGAACCAAATCTAAAATAAATAGTTTATAAAAAGCAAATGAAAAGGTTATATGATCAGAGGTCCAAAGCTTAAATACCTAAATACGTGAATAGACGCGATTAATTTTGGTCTTGATGATTTTATGAGACTTGATGTAGATCAAACTATAAATGGCTTTGCCAATAAGGTTGTGGTACGTAGTAATGCATTTGTATAGATGATTTTAAGTTTAAGTGTGACCAACTCGGTACGGCAGTACGGAATATCAGGGCGTAGTGCATTTTTTCCGCATCACGGGTAGATCCTTCGCTTATATTTTGATTATTTTTTAAAACTTTGAGAGAAGCTTTTACAATAACCATTTGATCAATTTCAATGAAAATATTTTTACTTGTATAATTTATCAAGATTTACCTGGTAGTTGTTGAAAAATCTTCGTTCAGTTTCGGAAAAATTCGTCCTGTCTATCAATAAGTAAGTTCCGCCTATTTCTAAGCACTTGTAGAATTCGAATAAAAAGTTTTATCGAAATTTATTTGGTAGTTATCGAGAAAGCTTCGATCAAAGTTTGAAAATTTTCATCCCACCTATCAATAAACAAAGTTCGGCCTAAATTTTCTAAAATTTTGAACTAAGTTTTCTCAACAACCACCTGATAAATTTCGATGAATTTTTCTTATCAGATGATTGTCAAGAAAACATCATTTGGGGCTTTTGCTAACAAAATGACCCTCCGAGCTATTGTTACACAAGATTTTAATTAGTAAAATCATAACAAATCTATTTTTAGTAAAAAAAAATCATAGCAAAGGCCCCATTTAAAGTTTTTAAAAAAACATTTTATGCGAAGGATCTACATCACATGACGGAAAAAGTACAATGCCCCGGCATAGCTGTGCGCTAAAACCAGGAACGGGAAAAGTTCTGATAAATTATTTACGCACTATAATTAGGGTGTCCAGGATTATGCTACTAGCAGAATTTAGCATAATTCGAGTTTGATAGCATAATTATGCTAGCAGCAGAATTTGGCATAATTGATATTTATTAGCATAAAATTTAGCATAACTTGAGTATTATTAGAAATAAAAGATAAAATCACTAAGAAGGTATTTTATTTTTCAATTTTAGCAGTTGCTATATATTGTTACAAGAACAATATCTATTATTTGACAGGTTAGCATGATTATATTTGTTATATGTAGTCAGGTTTTTTCATGTAATAGTATTGCAGGTCTCTATATATGTTCTTTCTATTAATCGTATAATTCAAATGAAAAAGAAATCCTGTAATAAAGATATATTTTCATATAAATTTTAGAGTTTAATCTTTGAAATACAATATTTTATTTATTAATATCAAAAAAAGAGTAATTGCACAAGATTGGTAATCTGTTATAAAGCACTGGCGAAGGAATAAATTTTGTCATTATTTAATTATTTTAGTCTTTTTTTTTTTATTCTTTTGTAACTATATTTAGAGAAATTTAGGATTATAGGGTCCGTATTGATTCACCGACAATCACTTCACTGACAGCTCATTTAGACGACATTATGCCAGGTGAATTTAATAAAAATATATACCTGCAACTAATGAAATGCTTAACTCTAACCCTATGTAATGTTGGCTAAATGATCGTTCGGTGAATGATTGTTGGTGAATTGAAGAGATCCCATAAATGTTATATAATAATTAAAAGATTTTCTTAGTTAAAAAATTTATTAGCATAAAAAGCATAATTTGACTTTATTAGCAGGCATAATTTGGTACCATTAGCAGCATAATTCTGGACACCCTAACTATAATATATCAGACACCC